TTACAAGCAGAGCATGTCACACTTTTTGCAAGATTCACGGGGATGGGGCACAAGGAGAGACACGGGATGTTCTCGAGTAAAGCTTACTACCAAAAATTGTTGGTGAGAGAGGTGGTGGCTTTTTTGTACTCTTTATGAAGATTCTTAGGGTGCCTAAGAAGTGTTTTTTATTTTTTATTTTGTTTAATTTTTAATGTGAAGATTTTATTGATGTATGCCAGCAAAATGCTGGAGTAAGTACATCCAGAAGAGAGACCTTTACAGAGCATATGTGTTTTTTGGTGTGGCTAGTAGCTAGGAAGCCATCCTGTTAGCCTGAGGAGGAGGAGGATTACACATGTTGGCTGGTGTTTTGTGTGCCAGATGTTCAGGAGAATATTAAAATCACCTCATGTTGCATTGTCATGTGGCAATGACTCTATGGTGGTTGGTTTTGGATTTGCTCAGTATAGTGATTGATGCCCATTATAATAACGGGAGCCTTTGTAGAAGCTGGGTTTTAGAAAAAGGAAGAGAAGTCTGAGAGCATGGTATAATGCCCCTCTAGCCCTTATTTGGGTTATTTGGAAAGAGAGGAATATGAGAGCATTTGAAGCTGTTGAGATTGATATTGTAAACTTGAGGAACACTCTCATATTTTATGTTTCTTTTTGGTGCACCCCCGAGGTTCCTACTTGTATTATAGATGATCAGGTGACTATTGTAGAGAACCATATTTTAGTGTATTTTCTCTATTTCTAATATACTACTTGTACACATGAGTTTGTTTTCTCACAACATCAACCTAATTATTTACTTTATCAAAATAACAACGGGGTCATTGAAAGATAACGCAGATCACAAATTTTACTTTACCATTTCCAGTTAACTATTAAGAAGAATTAGATAGCAGCATTCAGTTTCTTATTTGATTACATTGTCATTGACTTAGACAGTGGAAGGGATGAGTAAGGGAGAAACATGAAATCAAAAGTAGTAAAAAAAGATCTGAATACCAGATGAAAAGGAAAGAGTCATTTGTTTGAAGGGGGGGGGGGGGGGGGGGGGGGGGGGGGGAGGAAGAAGAGGAAGAAAAAGTGAGTAGAAGACACCATCACTCATGTCGGTTCTTTTGGGTAAGAGGAATTACAGAGCTTTTGAATAGGTGGAAAATGGCTTTGTCTATTTTCCTAGTAGCCACTTGTTTTTGTTTAATATTTTGTGTACACACAATGTGCCTGCTTGTATAGATGATTGTCTTTTGTAGTGAATTATATTTTTGTGTAGTTCTCTACCTTTTGGTTTGTTACCCTTTCTCAAAAAAAAAAAAAAGTTCTTTACTTTTGGGTGTACTGCTTATTTACAGGAGTATTATAAATTTTTATCTTGTTGTTCACCTCGTTGGATAAGATAATGCCTCTACTAATAATCACTCTGTCTTATGTATTTGTCTTCCCTTACTGTATGGTCTTAACCTTTGTCACTCTGTATGACCCATAATAGATGAGTGGGAGAATTTTCTGGAGCGAATTGGTCGAGGTGATAGTGGTGATAACGACATTCAGGAAGGCTCCAGTGACGCCTTGGAGCTTCGGTTTTGGGCATCTTACCGGGGCCAAACTCTAGCTAGGACAGGTTTGATTGTTCCCATGGTAATTAGGTTTCTATATTTGGCGGTTTAGTATCTTCTGTGTATTTAACAATGCTAGTTATATTTTAATGTGGTTTTGTATACAGTGCGTGGTATGATGTATTACAGAAGGGCATTAATGCTACAAAGTTACTTGGAAAGGAGATCGCTAGGAGGTTGGTAGTTTTTTTTATTTGCTCTTATGTCAAATGAAAAGCCCCTACCCTTCCGGGGTAGGGGTAAGGTCTGCGTACATCCTACCCTTCCCAGACCCCACTAGTGGGATTTTACTGGGTATGTAGTTGTTGTTGTATGTCAAATGAAAAGCCTGAATGTCCTGATGTAGTTTTTTACTTTTGTTTTTTTTATAAGGAGTGGATGGTCATTCTCAGACAAGCTCTCTCACGAGTCAAGGGTTTGAATTATCGCGAGAAGCACGGGCTCAAGCTGATTTGAAGTTTACTTATGTGATTTCATGCCAAATTTATGGGCAGCAAAAACAGCGAAAGGCTCCAGAGGCTACTGATATTGGTCTTTTATTGCGAAGGTCTGAATTAATATGTTCTTCTGATGCACCATTTCATCGATTCCATTTTTATCAGTCAGGATTTTTTGTTCTTACGTAATTTTGCAAAATATCTTCAACTAACTTGAGATTGAGGCCTAGTAGTTTTTGTGGACTCTAGATAATCTTTTTTAGCAAATTGCAATGGAGTCCCCAATATTATTATTTCAAGTTTGAGTCTTCTGGTCCC